TTCACATTTCATGTGGAGATGCTCCTGCCATCAAAAGTAAAGAATATACTTAAAGTCTGTGCCTGGCACTGTGGGGTAAGCTTTGGACTTCTCACGGGAAAGTCAGTGGTTCCCACCCACACCTCAGGACAAAGATGTGGCAGTGTGCTTCTGTAGATATGGGGCAGTTCTATTTTGTCCTACAGGATCACTGAGTCAGAACAGACTCAGTGGCAATGCGTTTTTGTTTTTTAATTCGAAATTGGAACATAGAAATCAGACCTGTTAATTCCACAAAAGATCTTGGTGGAAGCTTCAGGATATGGTCATGTTTTTCTTCCCTGAGGGTCATGTTTACATCCTGAGGGTCTGCAAGTCCTTTCCAGCACCCAGACCTGCGGCATCGAGGTAAGGAATAAATGAATGCCTTTTAACCATCTCCGAATTCCCACACCCTTCAAATTCTTGGAGCCTGCCAGCGGGGAGAAATCAGACCAGCATGAAGGGGTCAGTTACCCCCTTAGAGATGCCATATCAGGGGGCAGCATTCGCTCTGCTTGGCGGGGGCCCAGGCAGTCAGCACAAGTCCACTGACCATCACTAAAGCTGGCTGGTGCTGCGAGATCCTTCCGGAAAGAAAGGGTGGTCCAGCAGCAGAGTCCAGAACGTCTGTCGTCTGTTTAAAGGGCGGTCACTTTGAAATAAAGCTGAGACAGGTCTGACAGAGTCTGAAAGGGAATGAACAAGTTGTAAACTCCGAGAGCAGCTGCTGTCCAGTTGATTCCAATTCATGAGTCCAACTGTGCTCCACAGGGTTTCAGCAGCTGATTGTTGTAGAAGTATATCACCAGGCCTTTCTTCAGAGGTCCCTCTGGGCTAACTTGAACTTCCAACCTTCCAGTTAGTCTTGGATCACGTTTGTACACCCAGGTCCTCCGAGCCTTGAGCAGCATCCCCAACCCCCACCTGTGGGCTCACAGTCCCTCTTGAGGCCCAGAGCCCAATTCCCAGAAAGAATTCTCTACTGGGAGAAGGCCAGTGGCTACTTTGAGGCCATTCCTCCTGTGATGTTTGAGTTAAATTTTTAACTTAACAAATGTCTACAAAATATGACCATCTTCATCTTCAAAACAACACTGATTTTTTTTTTTTTTTTAAATGTCAGTAAACACTAAGTGTTGTCATGAAGTTTCCCATGAGTAACATAATCCCCCCATTCATTAACTGGCTGTAAGAGTCTCTGCAGAACTTATAAAACAAAGGGCTGTTCAGCAACAGCCCAGGCCTGGCCCTCCCTCCTACCGTCTCCACGACATGCAGGCTGGATGGAGCCAGATGGACAAAGCCTGGGGTTTGGAGTGGACGGATGGAAGGACGGAACCTGGGCTGTGGAGTGAGTAGAACCCAGGGTACAGGGTGGTTGGATAGATGGAGACCAGAGTGCAGGGTGGCTACACGGACAGATGACATCAGGGTTAATGTACACAAAGGGCAGCTCAGGGAAACAGCCTGGGAGCAGCTTGAGGAGGCTCTGCCCTGGGAACCCCAGAGTCAACACCCAAAGCCAACTGCAGTCCATGAGGAGAGGCATGCTGAGACGTAACAGCGAAGATCCTGTGACAAGGTGATTCCTGGAGACGGGGGGGACTCAGGGATGTGGATTCCTGAGGACCTGGGATGTGAGGTCGTGAGGTCATAGGGACATGAGGTCATGGGGAGGGGATGGAGTGGCTCCCAGCCTGCCTGAGGTAGAGCTGGTGCTATTCCAGCTTCTGACCAGGGTCTCAGGTCAGGGAGGCCAGTTTTGGGGATCTGGTGCCTCCAGGGGGGGCCTCGCTTTTGTCCTTGCCATTTTCCTGTTTGTCAAGAGTCTGTGGGGCCAGGCGTTTCCACTCCATCAGAGCTCCACAGGGTGTGTGGTTACAGTGAGGACCAATGAGGCCCAGAGACCTTGTCCACCCCAGTCCTGTGACCAGCACGACCCGGACTTGCAGGAGAGGTTCCACCAGAACACAATTAGAAAATTCGGACACAACTCCATTCACTGAACAAGGTTTGTGGAACTGATCAACGGGAACCTAAGAGGCTATGTAAACTTTCATCAAAAACACTACATATTTTTTTAAAACCAACAAAGCAGAAATAATATGACCAATCATTTAACATTCACAACCACCACCTGCCACAAAAAGATGACAGGCTAGATTTTTATTTTACCAAAAAACAGAAACATTTAAAACACGTAGAATTCTATCAGAGATCTTTTCTGGGAAACAGCAATATAAAATGTATCTCTGAATTAAAACTTTGTTTTTCCAACAGAACACATAAATTTTCAGGTAAAAATTAATGACCTTAAAGTTTACTTGCATTTACTTGTGATCCAGAGTAATGTGACCACAATCATTTCATCTTCGATGTTTTAAAATCCAAGAAAGGAAAAAGTCATTGTTTCTTGTTAATTCACTGTGAGTCCCCACAAAACACAGAGACTGGCAGAGTGGAAGAGGGGTCACCGGGGATGAGGTCCTGACCCTGGGCCCCCGCTGCTGTTTCAAGAGCTCTCAGATTCTATCAGCAACTTGTGGCCCCTCCTTCAGTAAGTCTCCAATCCTCGAACCTTGAAAATGTTGACGGCAGGATCCTTAAAAGTCTTCCGGGGGGAAATCACCCAATGTGAGGAGCAAAGTTCTGGGGCTGGATCACCAGTTATCAGGCTCAAGGGCAGGGTCCTTGGACTTGAGGACCATGCAGACCGGTCATCTGGAGTGGACTGGTCACCTAGATCAGGCAGAGAGTTTATCTATGGTGGGCAACTACATCATCTGGAGTGGGCAGACTTTCTGGGGTTGAATACATTCATTTGTGAAGTCATGGGGATATGGGGTGGTAAGATTTCACTGACATCAGAGTCTCGTGGTGTGGTACTGAAAGATAATACGCTGGACTGCAAGGTCGGCGGTTCAAACCCACGCACCTCAGAAATCCTATACAGGGTCACTATGGGTCAGAACCAACTCAATGGCACTTAACAACAATCTAGAGCAGGCAGAGAATGTATCTAAGGCAGGTGGACAGGTCATCTGGAGTGGAGAGAGAACTCATCTATGGGGAGAGAACTATTTTGGTAACCCTGTGTGACTTGGAACACAGGTGAATTAGAAAAGACCATGGTCTTTCTATGGTCTGGTACACATGGGTGGTCTTTCAGTTAACTCCATGGCTTGAAAATCCAACCCCCGCCCCCAAGAATGCTGTCCGTACGCCTTCACAGGCTGGAAACGCCTTCTCTGTGTCTCTGGTTCACGCTGCACACTGCTGAACTCACTACCAACACCACACAGGAATCCATTCATCCACTCATCCTGTCTCTTCTGACAATGGAGCATCACCTCCAGATCTCTAAGAAGTGATGTGCAAAAAGGATCAAAACTGTATTGCAGGAAACTGCTATTTACTCCACACTCCCCGAGAAAAGATGATCTTAATGATTAGTCAGTTCTAGGAGAGGAAAGGACGAAAGGTTCAAGAAGAGTCTACAGCTTCTGCTCCCAGCTCACATGGAAGCCAGGGCCAGTGTCTGATACCCCAACCCTGTGCACTCACCCAGCCCCCTAAACCCTGCTCCCTAACCCACCCTGTGCACTCACCCATCCCCTATACCCTGCTCCCTAACCCACCCTGTGCACTCACCCAGCCCCCTAAACCCTGCTCCCTAACCCACCCTGTGCACTCACCCACCCCTAAACCCTGCTCCCTAACCCACCCTGTGCACTCACCCACCCCCTAAACCCTGCTCCCTAACCCACCCTGTGCACACACCCAGCTCCCCTAAAACATGCTCCCTAACCCACCCCCTAAACCCTGTTCCCTAACCCACCCTGTGTACACACCCAGCCCCCTACACCCTGCTCCCTAACCCACCCTGTGCACACACCCAGTCCCCCTAAACACTGCTCCCTAACCCACCCTGTGCACTCACCCAGCCCCCCTAAACCCTGCTCCCTAACCCACGCTGTACACTCACCCAGCCCCTAAACCCTGTTCCCTAACCCACCCTGTGTACACACCCAGCCCCCTACACCCTGCTCCCTAACCCACCCTGTACACTCACCCAGCCCCTAAACCCTGCTCCCTAACTCACCCTGTGCACACACCCTGCTCCCTAACCTAGCACTCTAATGCAGTCCCCTAACTCTACTTCCTAACCCTGTAACAAGCTCCTTATCTGTATTCTAAGCCAGAAGACCTATTGTGGGTTAATGTGCTAGACTGCAAAGTTGGTCTGAACCACAAAGTCATCAGTTCAAGCTTACCAGCTGCTCCTTGGAAACCCTATCCGACAGTACTTAACGACAATAATGATACCCCAACTCTACCTACAGGGTAATGATCCCTACCAGACCCCCATTCCCCACCCTCCGCTAAGCCCGCACACTAACCCTGGGATGGTTTTCCTGCTCTGTCTTTGCTCACACACAGGCCCCACAGCTTCAGACACGGATGGGTGTGAAAAGGCCCTGTAGTTACCCCTGGTGGGGAGCCTCTTCAGGGCCAGCAGTTGAGCTGGGGGAGAAGCCCAGTCTTATTCTCACTACTTTATTAACACTCCTTTGTGGAATAAAAATTCTTCCCCAAGCAGCTTCCAGCAAATCCTGAACCTCTGACACCGGCCCTGGCCCTGAAGGACACTGATGTGCGTGTGTGCCGGCCAGTACGTGAGGGTACCCAGGTATGTGAGGCCCCGAGGCTGTCTGCACCGCCAGTTTCTGCCAGACAACACACCCCACTAAGACACTGCGGAATCGCCCCTTCACTGTGGGCCATTGCTCTCACTTAACACTTTTATTTGCATTTGACGTTGCCCGGTTTGGTATCACGCAGAAACACAGAGGTGGGCTCACGTGAGTGGCTCTAGCCCCACATCAGGACGAGGAGTCTGCCTTCTGGGCCCTGCAAGGAGTGGCTGTCATTGCCCACTCCTTCAGGACACTGACGGTTCTTCACGACAGGATGGACTCCTAGCTGCTGGTCACTATTTGCTTCTGTCGGAGCCGTTTCCAAGTCCTCTGCAGGGCCACTTTCCCCATGAAGTAAGTGATGGCAAAGTTGCGCCGGTACCAGTCTCTACATTGAGTCCGGGGAAGAGAAAAGGGAGGTACTTATGAGACACCCAGCCAGGTAGGTCTTTGGTCTCTTGTAGTCTCTCCTCAGGAGGAACGCAATTCCCCGGGCACCCCCACCCCAGCCAAGCCCCATTCATTGTCAGGGACACACTGGGTGAGTGATGGGGCTGTGACTGAGAAGAGGATGCCAGCCACTCCCAGGGCACCTGGGATACCCAGAAGCAAAAGACAAAAGGCTTTAGCTGTGAGAGGCTGGGCTTCTGGGTCTTTCTGTCTCTGAAGAGATCACTCCAGAGTCGCTGGGATAAATACTGTGGTGGAGTTCACGCCCATCTGAGTTATGTTGCCGCAAAGGCCCAAGCTCACCTACCCGGCCCCAGTCAGCAGTTTCTGACTGGGTGGTAGAGCTGGAAGTGCCCACATTCCAGACTGGGTGTTGCGTGTGCTGCTCAGACCAGGGAGTGAGCGAGCGAGCGAGCAAACTGCAGTTTCAACTCTAGACTGCACGGGGTTTGCAGGAAACGACAACGACAAGGAGACATCCAAACGCCTGCAGTCTTGGTGTGGGATGGAGAGCCTGGTCCACATCAGAGCAGTATTACCCTTCCATCATGTATGTGACACGAGGAGGGGATACTAGAAAAGCCAGACTCCCTTCTCCTGGACAAGGGTGTGTGTGTGTGTGTGTGTGTGTGTGTGTGTGTGTGTGTGTGTGTACACACACAGGTGTGCATGCAGGGGCAGCCTTTCCTATGTGTGTGTGTGTGTGTGTGTGTGTACACACAGGTGTGCATGCAGGGGCAGCCTTTCCTGTCTCTAGAGTAGACAGAAAGCGGGGGGAGGTACAGCAAGGGGAGCTCGGGACTCTACCGCCTCCTGGTCCCCTTTAACACTGGCTCCCCTCAGCCCACATGCAGCTCAGGAAATACCAAGCTGAGCAGACTTCGAGTCTGGTGCGCACAGGCCATGTGTCCTCTTCAGGTATCAGAGGCCCAGAGAAACCGAACCAACCTGCTCAACTGAACAAGTTCAGAGTAGTCACTGACCAACACTGGAAAGCACCTGATGTTTCAGGACTAATCATTATGCCAGACAACGAGAAGATTTGAAAAACTTTGTTTTGTTTGGAAACAGCTTTATTTTGAAAAACATGGTTTCTGGAAATGTGTAGTTTCTGCAGTCACAAGGACGCCTTATGAGCTCACCCCGCACCAACACCGCCTCGGTTCTCTACAACCCCATCCAGCCTTCTTGCTGTTGTTGTAAATACATTCCAGCACAATTCAGCCAGGTGAGCAGTTTTCAGGTGTGCCCGTCAAGTGATGCCAACCACATGAATCATGTTGGGACTGTCACCTGTCATCACTGCCCAGACTGCTGCTGTCTCCAACATCCCCACTGTATCATCTGACCAGCACACACATTGCTATGTGTCTGTGTCCAGATGAAATATTTAAAGGAGACAACATAAGCTGAAACATGTTACACCTTCAAAAAAAAGGAACTTGCAGGAGAAGAGGGTGTGATTTTAAGCCACTAAATACATACACATTTAAAGAAATAACTATAATGTCATTATTAATATAACCTAGTATAGTCAGGCATGGTTAAAGAATATAACAACCCTGATATACAGCTTTCCTAATTTTAAACAATGCAGTGGTCCCTTGTCCTGTTCGAATAACTGCCTTTTGGTTCCTCATGAGCACAATTAGGTGTTCCAGATTACTCATTCTCTGGAATGTTATTCATAGCTTGTCATGATCCACTCGATCGAAAGGCTTTGTGTAGTTAATGAAACACAAGTAAACATATTTCTGGTGTTCTCTGCTTTCAGCCAAGACCCATCTGATATCAGCAATGACGTCCCTCGTTCCACGTCCTTGTCTGAATGTAGCTTGTACCTCGGGCATTTTCCTATCAATGGACTGTTGAAGCCATTTTAGAATTATCTTTAGCAAAATTTTACTTGCATTATTTGTTGCATATTTACTTGGTGTTGTCTGATGATTTCCACATTCCATTGGGTCTCCTTTCTTTGGAATGGACACAGACATGGAAATCTTCCAATCAGCTGGCCAGGCAGCTGTCTTCTAAATTTCTTGGCATAAACGAGTGAGTGCCTCCAGTGCTGTAACAGTGCATTCAAAGACTGGATTCTGTATTCCATCATTTCCCAACTGTGTGAGGAAGAACGTAGCATCAAGACTGGAGGATTCACTAACATACTGGAATATGCAGATGATACAATCTTGCTTGCTGAAAGCGAAGAGGGCTTGGCATACTTACTGATGAACATCAAAGATCACAGCCTCTGTATGAGCAATGTGAAGAAAACAAAAATCCTCACCAATGGACCAGTAAACAACATCATGATAAATGGAAAAAGACTGAAGTTGTCAAAGACTTCATTTTGCTCAGATCAACCACCAACACTCACGGAAGCAGCAGTCAAGACATCAAACAATGCATTGCATTATGCAAATCTGCTGCACAAGACCTTTTAAAAGTGTTCAAGAGCAAAGTTTTGTCAGTTTGAGGACTAAGGTGCACCTGATCCAAACCATGGTATTTTCAGTAGCCTCATATGCATTTGAAAGTTGGACAATGAATAAAGAAGGCCATAGAAAAGTTGATGCATTTACGTTATGGTGTTGGAGAAAAAATACTAAAAGTTCCATGGACTGCCAGAAGAAGAAACAAATTGTGTTGGAAGATGTATAGTCAGATGTTCCTGAGAAGTCAGGATGGCCAGACTTTGTCTCTCCTACTTCAGACATATCATCAGGACGGACCAGTCCCTGGAGAAGGACATCATGCTAGGTACAGTGGACGATCAAGTAAGAAGAGAAAGACCCCCAAAGAGATGGACTGGCACAGTGGCAGAAGCAATGGGCTCAAGTGTGGCAACAACTGTGAGGTTGGTGCAGGACCTGGCAGTGTTTCATTCTGTATGAGGTTCTGCATGAGGTTGCTATGAGTCAGTAATTAGTGGATGGCACCTAACAACAACAACAACAATATAGGCAGGAGTCCTGAGGTGGCACTGGAGGATAAGCACTAGACTGCTAACAACAAGGTCAGGGGTTCAAACCCATCAGTCAGTCCTTGGAAACCCTAATCAGAGTTGCTATGAGTCAGAACCAGCTTGACAACGACAACAACGGCAACATATAGTCAGGAGCCCAGTGGGGTTAAGTGCTCAACTGCTCACTGAAAGGTTGGTGAGTTCAAGCCACTTTGTGGAAGAGAGATGTGCCAGTCTGTTTCCATAAAGATTTATAGCCTCAGAAACCCTATGGGGCAGGCTCGCCGTATGACCAACATTTTATCTCCTCCAGCTGTCAAAACAAATTCTCTCATCATTTCTAACAGTTCTCCATGCAATGCACCGTCCCCCACCCTTCCACCCACACCTTTTCCTAGCAACTGGCACTCAGATGGGAGGCCAGACAAGATGAAAACGAAACTGGATGTTTATAAGGGCCTGTGCATAGGCGGCGCCATGCATTCCTGGATCACACAGAGGTCACCATGACTGGGGGCTCCTGTGAGAAGAGCCTGACCCCTCCCATCCCTCCATCACAAAGCCCCCATCAGTTTTCTGCCTAATGGTTTCAGCATGACTGCTGTCTCGGATTTATCAATTCAATGGGAAAACAGGGATTTTCTAATGGCATCACTCTGTGCACTAGCTGCGGCTCTTCTGTGATGAAAAATGCTGGTTGGGTTAACGGGAAAGTCAGTCAGCACAAGAAAGGCGGGAGTGGGCCAGGGTCTTTGACTCTTTCTCTTGGTTTCTCAGCTTTCAGAATCAATGTATCATCCCCTAGTGATGGAGTCCCAGGTGCTGTGACAAGTTAACCATACTCAGCTGCTAACCAAAAGTTACAGGGGCCTCAGAGGAAAGCCCTCGAGATCTCCTTCCAAAACACCAGTGACAGAAAGCTTGATGGAGCACAGTTCTACTCGGACACACGTGGGCCAACCATAAGTTGGAGTCAACTTGACGTCAGCTGGTTTACTCGAGCACTATCCAGAGGGAGCTGGGAGCTCTGTCAGCATCAGGGTACTCCCAGGGGCGTTGGGTCCTGGATGCCTGTAAGTCCCTGGCAGGCATCTGTCTTTCTAAGGTGTCCATTACTCCATAGCTGGTCCACTGGAGCTCCTCTGAACTACTCATGTTGTTCTGACATGACCTCACTTTCAGACAGACTCACCCCTGGACCAACCATGTCCCCAGGGAGCCCAGGTCCCTTTGGTGGACGGTGCTGACTCGAGACCACAGTCTATGCACTACCAGGCCTTAGCAAGCAAATGGGATCAAACGTACAACTTAGTCCAAGGCACAGAGAACTAAGGTGATAAAATCATACAGTTTCTATGTCTTGGATAAGCACGAATGCCACTAAATTCAGGTAAGACATTAATTTTTAGGAAAAATGTGAACACCCACCTGTTATAATCCACGTGCTTCTGAAAATTCCGACTGAAAAATTCCTTGTAAAAGTCAGCCATTTCCTCAGCAGTCAGTGATGCCTTTTGACCTGGAAGTTAAACATTTCACATGAACATGAGAACTTGAGGGAAAGGAGTACACAGAAAACGATCAGAGCTAATGAATGAACTCAGCAAATCAATTGTATGTCTGTTTACTATCAAAAAGAATAAACTATGTAGGGATAAATTTAGCATTGTTGTTGTTAAGTGTCCTCAAGTGGGTTACAACTCCTAGCGACCCTGTAAAGGGCTTCCAAGGAGTGGCTGGTGAGTTTGACTTGCTGATCTTATGGTTCAAATTGCAGTCTGGTGCATTAACCCACAGCACCACACCAGCACTCCAAATTTAGCATTGTGTTGTTGTTGTTAAGTGCAGTCAAGTAGATTCCGACCCATAGCAACTCTGTATAGGGTTTCCAAGGAGCAGCTGGTGAGCTTGACCCACCGACCTTGCAGTTCACACGACTTTGCAGTCTGACGCATTAGTTCACAGCATTAGTTCACAGCGCCGCACCAGCACTCCAAATTTAACATTGGAAGTGTAAAATGTACTTTAAAACTACAAAACAGCATTAAAACAAACTTCAAAAGACCTCAGCAAATCGAAAGACATCAGAGTTCACTGGCCGGAAGACTTTATATTGTTAAGATAGAAAAAACACTTCTCAATTTAGCCTATAGATATATAACATAGTCCCCAGCAAAATCCTAGCTAGATTTCGTCAAGGAAATTGACAAGATTATCCTAAAATCCATAGGGAAATGCAAGGCACTTTATATAGTCCAAACAATAGTGAAATGAAAAAAAAAAAAAAAATTAAAAGAACAAACAATATTGTAAAAAAAAAATTGTAAAATAGCGAAGATGAAGGACTCACACTTTCCAATTTAAAAACAAAGCACCAGTACTCAAGACTGTGGAACTCCGCATTTACCCAGGGGAGGAAAGAAACATGAAGGGGAACTGAAAACACAGGGAGAGGTGGGCAAAGTGCTGCCCCATCGTGGGGACTGCAGTCAGTGTGCCAACACCAAGGCCAACAGGAACTCCATCGAGGGCCAGGAACCCTGCTGTCACATTCCTTCTACAACCACCTCCTGGGACCCTAGAATTGCAGGGCCCCACCTGGTCCAACAACTGCACTGCTAGTTTTTTACAAATACGATAACCTCACAATACCCTGGAGACAACAGACAATTTTAGCTCACACAAAGAAATGAGAATGGCTCAAACAAATGACAAGACACAGAGCCAGAGATGTTTCTAAGGAAGAACTAACTAAAAAATACTTCAAAACAATGACAAATAGGGACCTTCAAAGGATTGACAGAAAGGTCAATGAAGGCAGGGAGAACACAGAAAAAATTAAGAGTTCAGAAAAACACTATTAGAACAGACAAAATAAAAGCAAATTTTGAAATAATACAAAAACCTACCAGTAGCAATCCAGAAGATTACGATACTAACATCTCAGAAATGGACACTCTGCTGAATGGACAAAGGAGTAGATGTGAAGCAACGGAAGCCTGAATTAGCAAGCTGGAAGAGAAAACTCTCAATACTAGTGTAAGAAGAACAATCAGAAGAAAGAATGACAAAATCTGAAGAAAGCCTAAGAGTTATATGAGACACCATGAAGAGTAACAACTTACGGAGGATCAGAATTCCACAACAGAAAGAAGCAAGCACAGAGAAAATTATCAAAGAGTTGTTAGAAAAAAACTTTCCAAACATCATGAAAGATGATAAGCTCAGCACACAAGAAGCGGAATGAACCCCAAACAGGACAGATCCCAGAAGAAAATCAAGACGAATCATAATCAAGCTTTCCAACATCAAAGACAAGGGAAGACTCCTGAGAGCAGCTCAGGGAAAACAAAATTATACCTGCAAAGGAGAACCAGTAAGACTAAACTCGGATTTCTCAGCAGAAACCATGCAGGCAAGAAGGCTATGGGATGACAGATACAAAACTCTGAAAGAAAAAATTGCCAACTAAGAATCATATACCCAGCAAAGCTGTCCCTCCAATACAATGGCACAATTAGGACATTTCTTGATAAACAGACATTAAACAAATTTGTAATGACCAAACCAACTTTACAAAAAAGGCTAAAGGGTGCTCTTAGGACTGAGAACCAACAATGGCAGACAACAACCTGAGATTACCACACATGACCACACCAACCAGAACTCAATCTGGATATGAAAGTGTTTAAAGTAAAAAAAAAAAACCTACAAGACTAAAAATAAGGAATCCGAGATATCAATGTATAATGACGTCAACTACAATTCAAAGAGAGGGAATAGAGTAGACACAGAACTTCCAAATGTCAAGGAAGTCAAGTAACTTCAAGATAAAACATACTGTTTAAAAAAGGGAAAAAAAATTACAGGGTAACCGCAAAGGAAAATAATACACTAGGCACATTAAAATTTAAAAAGAGGAAAATCAGAAAGATTTAGTAAACATTAACTCAGCAGAACTAAGAATAAAACCCACAAACAAAATGAACTCAGCATAGAAAGTATGTGGAACAGAGAACCCAGAGCACCGCACAACACAGGTAACAATCAACTCATACTATTGATAATTACACTGAATGTAAATGGATTAAATGTACCAGGCAAGAGACATAAAGAGCAGAAGGGAAAATAAAACAGGATCCTTCAATATGCTGTCTACAAGACACACATAAAAAAGATGGAGACAGCCTAATCGCCCATCAACAGAAGAATGGTTAAACAAACTTTGGTGCATGCACATAATGGACTACTACACAACGCTGAAGAATAACAATAGATCTGTGAAACCCCTCACACTATGGAGGACATCATGCTGCGGGAAATTAGTCAATCACAAAAGAACACACGTTGTATGAGACCAATACTATAAAAGGAAAAAAAAAAAAAAAGGTTTCCTTGATAAAATGGGAGAAATATTTATATTTATAAATCATGTATCTGATATGGGACTATATATCTAGACTAGATAAAGAATCCTTAAAATTTAACAGCAAAAAGACAAAACCTCAATTTAAAAATCAGCAAAAGAACTTAATATAGCCATTTTCTCCAAAGACGTACAGATAAAGCAAAAAAACAAAAAACTTAAACTGAAAAATTTCCAAGCGCAGCTTGAGAAGGCAAAGCCAAGAATGATAATGAAATCTGCAAAGACCTGGAGTCAGAAAACGGAAAGAGAACACAAAGCATTTCTCAAGCTTAAAGAACTGACGACGAAATTCAAACCTAGACGTCCTATAGTAAAGAATTCTATGGGTGAAATACTGAATGATGCAGGAAGCGTCAAAAGAAGATGGAGAGCCACTGTACAAAGAAAGTTGGTTGACGTTCAGCCATTTCAAGAGGTATGATCAAGAACCAATGGTATTGAAGGAAATCGTCCAAGCTGCTCTGAAGGCATTAGCGAAAAACAAGGCTCTAGGGATTGACAGAATATGAACTGAGAGTTTCAACAAACTGGTACAGAACTGGAAGCACCCACTAGTCGGTGTCCAGAAATTTGTAAGGACACCTGCCTGGCCAACCAATTGGAAGAAATCCGTATCTGTAACCATTCCAAAGCAATGTGACTCTACAAAATGAGGAAGGTATCAAAAACTATCATTAATATCACATGCAAATACAATTTTACTGAAGATAACTTAAAAATGGCTACAGCAGCACATCAGTAGGAAGAAGCTATCAAAAAAAATTTTATTTTACATCCAAGTAAAATTTTGTTGAAGATAATTTAAAAATGGTTCCAGCAGTCCATCCATAGAGAACTGCCAGAAATTCAAGCTGAATTTAGGAGAGGACCTGGAATGAGGGACATCATTAGTGATGTCAGATGGGTCTTTAAAAGCAGAGAATACCAGAGGGATGTTTACCTGTGCTTTATTAGCTACGCAAAGGTGTTTGACTATGTGGATCATAACAAACTATGGGTAACAGTTTTGAAGAACGGGAATTCCAGAATATTTAATTGTGCTCATGAGGAACCTGCATAGAGATCAAGACGCAGTTGTTTGAACAGAACAAAGGTTTATGAATACAAAATTAGGAAATGTGAGCACAGGGTTGTATACTTTTACCATATTTACTCCACATGTATACTGAGAAAATAATCTAAGAAGCAGGACTATATGAAGAACTCAGCACCACGATTGGAAGAAAACTCATTAACAACATGTGATATGCAGATGACACAACCTTGCTTGCTGGAAACAAAGAGGACCTGAAGCACTTACTGATGAAGATCAAGGAATACAGCCTTCAGTACGGATTACAATTCAATATTATAAAATCAAAAATCCTCACAAGTGGACCAATAAATGACATCATGATAGAAAGAGGAGACTGAAGTTGTCAAGGATTTCATTTTACTTGTAGCCACAATCAATGCTCATGGAAGCAGCTGTCAAGAAATCAAATGATGTCTGTTGTCCTGTCTTATAGGTTCCGACTCATAGTGACCCTGTATACAGTTTCTATGGAGTGCCTGGTGAGCTTGAACCGCTGACCTTGTGGTTCAAACCAAGCTTTATCCCAGAGTGCCACACCAAGACTCCAAATGATGTATGACAATGGGCATATCTGGTACACAAGAATGCTTTAATGTGTTGTAGCGTAAAGCTACGGTATTTTCAACTGCCTCACGTGCTAGTAAAAGTTGGACAATGACTAAGGAAGACTATAAAAGAATTGATGTATTTCAATTATCGTGTTGGTGAAGAATATCGTTAAGGTACCATGGACTGCCAGATGAACCAACAAATCTATCTTATAAGAAAAAGAACAGCCAGAGTGCTCCTTAGAATCAGGGATGGCGAGACTTTGTATAACACACTTTGGACACATGTCAGGAGGGACCAGTCCCTGAAAAGGGCAGCATGCTTGGTCAGCGAAAAAGAGGTCTCTAATGTAAGGACTGGGAGGATGGCGCAGGACCACAGCGTCTCCTTCTGTTGGACACCGACTAGTGGGTGCTTCTCTGAGAGTCCGAGAAGACTGGAGGGCACCTAACAACCACACCGTATGGAAAGGTACACGATTAGTCTGGGGAAATCCAAATCCAAACAACACGGAGGTAACTCTTCACCCCCATTAGGACAATTACAAGTGTAGAGCAGGAACCCTGAGACCGTTGGTAAGAAGGTGAAGTGGGGCGCCTTGAGAAATGCCAAGTGGAAGAGGCTGGTCACGGAAGATGACATACAGCAGGAAACCCAGAGAGACACCCAGTTAGACAGGCGGCTGCTGGGGGCAGGTGGGGAAATGGAGATGGTTTCTCAGGGGCACAAGGTGTCTTCTGGGGGGACAAAAATGTTCTGGAATTCAGACTGTGGTGACGACTGCACAGCTTTGTGAAGGTGCTAAAAAGCTGAACTCTTGAGTTTGATGGTAAAAAGCTCGCTGAACTCTTGAATTCCACAGTAAAAAGCTGAATTCTTGAATTTGATGGTGTATGACTTGCATCTCCATTGAGCCAAAAGACACAAGGGGGGCAGCTGTCCCTGTTGTCAGACTCAGAGGTACGCATGCAGGCGCAGCGTGCGTTGTCCCTGACGCAGCACCTTTTGATGGGTCTGAGGGAGCCCGTGTGAGCCATGCTTCCTCGTGCATACTCCAGTGAAGGGCTCAGAAAGGCACGAGGGCCACTGGTGTGCAGGACGCATGTCCCTTCTGGGCAGAGCTGCTCTGACCATGCCCACGTCCTGGTCTGTGAGCACACAATGATCCCAGGGACCTGGTGCTCACTTGTCACTACAGCTGTCCCAACAAGCCAATGGGGAGCAGGTGGTGGTGGTCAAGACAGACCAGCATGTGCCCCACATAGGACCTCTGGGAACAGGGGGCCCTCTCCAGCTGTTGGCATCTGGTGCCTAATCACCGAGGCCAGAGCTTGACATGGAGCGGAAACAGCACAAATATTTCCCCAGCCGTCAGTCTGCAACTCCCCACTCAACAGGAAGTAGGGAAAGACACCAAGTAGGACAGCCCAGTCACGGTGTCCCAGAGGAGGCGCGGCTCACCATAAACAGCCTCTCCTTCTCTCACACCCCTCCTTTTTGTCGTCTCCTGGAGTCACACCCACCACGGCACTGACCTGACTCAGTTCTCCGTCCCAGGCCTTTAGCTGTCAGTCTGGCACAAATAAACTCTTCTTTCTCCTGAAAGAATAAAAGAGGATGTGTGTCAGCCCCGCCCTCTTCTGCTCTGTTCTGCTTGGCTAGAACATAACTCGCGGAGCTCTGGAGACATCGGCATGGGACCATCTGAGAAATGGCCAATCTTCGAGCCCGTTTTACACCACCTGAAGTGGTTTAGAAATCAACAAACTCTGGTAAACACTGTTTGCTTATAAACTCACAGGACAGGGCACATGCACATCATGTGACCAGCCCACCCAAGTGCATAAATGTGGAATCCAAGCGGTTGTCTTCTAAGCTGCAATATTTATACTTGTCATGCAGTTTATTTTCATAATGAACATGCAGTTAAGAATTCTCAATGCTTAGGAGAAGTAACAACACATCCTCCAGACGCAAATTGTCCTACATGTAAGCACACACATATATACATGTAAAACTGTTTGTGGACGAGATCCACAGTTCAAACTCTGGCTCCGCTACTCGCTAACTTCACTTTCTTGGAAGTCTCAATATTTGTACTGCTACACGGACAACAAGTACTCCTTAAACACAGCAGCACTCAACCTGCAGAAGTTGGAGAGTTCGGAAAATTAGGACTGCACCCTGCCAAAGGTGGAAAACTCACCAGACTCAGATAAACGAGGCCATTCTGTCAAGTTGTGGCTCTCATAGGTTTCATTGTACACGTCGCTTTGAAATTTTCAGGGCCACACATTGTGCACACGCACAGAGATAAACAAATCCTAAGGATTTAGCATCCCCTAGTGGTCAACTGGTGTGGTGCCGTAGGCTTAGCACTCCACTTCAAGGTCAGTTTGAACTACGAGGTCAACAGGGTTCAAACTCACCAGCTGTTCCTAGGAAACCCTATTACAGGCTTGCTGAGTCAGAACCGACTTGATGGCACTTAACAACAACAGTGTCCAAGTATACTATTTCACATTCTGGTCCTAAACCTGTCTGTAGCCTCCCAGTCAACTCAGACCATATAGCACAGAGCAGAACTGTGCCACAGAATTTCCAAGACTGCAAGTCCTGTAGGATAGGCCCTGGACTGCAAACCACAAGGACAGCAGTTCAAGCCCACTAGCTACTCTGTAGGAGAAAGATGGGGCTTTCTGATCCTGCAAAAATTTGCGGTCTCAGAAACCCTATCCAGGGTGGCTATGAGATGGAACCGACTCCGTGGCATTTAACAACAGAAATTGTTTATGGAACTGTAGTCAGCCAGATCTCTCTCCACAGACCAGCCGGTGAATCTGGACCATCCCTCATGTGGTTGGCAGCCATGTGCTTAAACCACCGTGGCATCAGAAGTCCTTTTAAACATACCTTACTAAAAGTCAAATTCTGGTTTGCCCAGAATCGCTGGTTCCATTCTTGTGTTTCTTGTCTTAGCTCTCGAAGCTTTTGTTCCAGTGGTGATTCATCTTCTGGGATATAAAACTGAACAGGTCGGAGGTTTGAGTGTCTATCTGGGGGTCCAATCCAATCGTGGCAAGATTTTCTTGGCGGGCAGAATCTCAAGACCTTTAACAAAAGGCACAGGATTAACATAAACACACAGATTATAAAGTAAACTCTGGTTTTAGTGAAACTCTTGCTGCTCCTTTTCAGGGCTGTATGCCTGTGAATTTCCTGTAAGGAGCATTGGTAAGGAGCTCTGGTAGCACAGTGGATTATGAACTGCATAGGTCAGCAGTTCAAATCTATCAGCTGCTTCTCGGGAGAAAGATGAAACTTTCTGCTCCCGTAAAGATTGACAGCCTCAGAAACCCTATACAGGTTCACTATGAATTGGAACTGATTCAACAGCACAAAGCCAGCCACAGCCAGCCAGTACAATCAACATTATACCATCAACATTTTCAACAAGTGGTGCTAAGAGAATTCAACATTTAAGCAGCCCCACAAAAAACTCATCCATACCTCACACCATATATCAAAATCAATTCAAAATGGGTCATTCACCCTAGAAGTGTAAAATTTCTGGAAGTAAACAGGAGAAAATCTTTGCAACTTTAAATTCGGCAACAATTTCTTAGCTATGACACCAAAAAAACCCCACAAAATAAAAAGTAAATTGGACCTCACCTATGTTTAAAACGTCTGCTCTTTGACAGGTTGCTAAGAAAATTAAAAGGCCACAGATTGGGAAAACACATGCAAATCTGATCAATGACTGGTTCCCAAAATGTCTAATGAGCACACAAAACTCAGTCATGATGGCCTGAAGACCCCCGTCACACCCGGAGCTGCCCTCCTCCCTCCAGGGATCGCTTTTTAGCCCAACGACACACAGACAGACCGACCTCTAAAATGACCAGTAACAGCATGAGGAATGCCATCCACAGAACAACCCACCAGACGAGGCCAAAAGAGGCAGTATCTACCCCAAAACAAAGACTCAGAAGGCAGAGAGGGGAAGGAAAGAAGGACAAACGGAAACCAGGGAGCCCAGGGAAGGAGTGGGAAATGTACTGTCCACTGAGGGGACTGGAACCAATGTCATGGAAGAAACTCTGCATACATTGTTGGAAGGAAAGCTAATCTACTCTGTAAACTTTCACCCGACCACAATAAATGTTTTTCAAAAATAGTATTACAATCCAATACTGAGAAACAAACGATCCAATGGAAAAACAGGCATAATATTTGAGTAAAAAGTATACCAATAATGTTTATGCATATAAACATTAGGAAGACGCAGATTAAAACCACAATGAGAGAACAAACAAGATGGCGGATCCAGTGGAAGTGCAGTGAGGAGCTCCGCCAGCAACAACACAGAATACAGGACCAAGCAGTCTCAGGGGATGGTCCCAAAACACTGAACCACATATAAAGGAATATTTAGAAGGTTGGAAGGCTTACAGCTGGGAGAATTTTTAGAAGAAGCAAGAAATCCATTGCTTTCTAGTCCAGGACACTTGGCTGCTCCAGGAGCCTCCAGCCTCCATCTTGGGTGAGACCACATGGGGGAAGGATCGGAGCGGCCACACACGCCTGGCAGAACCGCAGAGATCAAGGTATGGACATTCTTTTCTTTTGTTATCTGTACGTTGGTCCCTTGCTGTCTGCGCACCTCCATTCTGGTGATTATAGGGGTCCCTGAGCTAGTGGACACCCCAGCCACACCCTCAGAGGGTTCTACTACGCATGTGCACAGATGTCCTCGAAATTTAAAGAGTTTCCAATTAAAACCAAATGGCCACAGCCAGCCCTGAACTGTTTCCAACTAGAAAAAAAGTCCTGAACGGGGATTGTGGAGTGGGACAAGCAGACAAAAGAGGAAATAGGCCAAAAATTAAATCCTAAGTTATGTCACAACGGGCATCAGTGGCATCTTGAAATTTCTTAAGAAGAAAAGTGAAAAGGGAAGCCCATCTCCTGGAGATCACATCTACTTGGAGGCAATCAGAAAGCATAAAAAATACCAAAATACATACTCATCTAAGTATTAAGGCCACAGATAACCCCTGAATATGCTCAAAAAACAGAAGCAGACAACCATATCTGCACATGTCCAGAAACGAGATAA